TTTCAATAACCATGGTAATGATAACACTATTGAACGACATTGGAAAGATATAAAAAATCTAACAGTTCTTTCAATCGTCCTGTAAGGTACTAAGTAATCTACTTGACAACCAGAATTTGGTAATTACTTAGCACCTATATTATCAAAATTGTTTGGCGCTTTCAAACGTGAAGTTCATGGAACATTTTGAAGAATATTGAACATGCTTATAATTTTACTCTTCATATATATTATATTTAGGAGTTATATGCAAACTAGAAGTGCAATTGTAGGGGAACCTACTTTTATTTAATAATGTCGATAAATAGGCTATTTATAAAGATGAGAAAGGTTACTGATACAACCTTTCATGACTGATGACTGTTTAATTCTTCTTCTGTTACAATGTTATAATCATCACGTTTACTTTCAGAAATTTCTTTTATTGCATTTGGAAAGATTCGAATGTTTTATTTTAAACGGTTCTTAACAATCATTAGTTGATTCATCAATCCTTCAACTGTTTATATATTTTAGTTTATCCATAATGGTTTAACCAGTAATTACTTGTTTTTAAAAACATTGCATTCTATAAGCCAAGTGGTTTGACTCGGGAAGTTTTACTGTTGTTCTAGACCGTATAGTCACCGTCTAATTCAAGTAAAAGTGAGCTTTTCAAAATCGTTGCACATGTAGTAATTCAGTCAGCGCTGATGACCTTATTTCCAACTAGTTTCTTTTATTGATCATATTGATAGTTATTTGTCTTTGAATTCACAAGGACTATTTTCCTTGGTTAACCTTTGGTCGTCTGATTTTGATTTACGTAGATAATTAGAAGCAAAATTCATTTTGGAAGGTAAAATAGATCTATGTTGGACAAGCTCTAAAAATTCCTAAGAATTTCTAGAACTATGACATTCACATAAATCTCTAATCAAGACACATTATAACACATCCAAATTATCCACTCATACAGAAATGATTAGGGATTTATATAGTCGTAAGTTAACCCGACAAAACAGTCACCGTGAATGCCAAGACACATTATGATTAAAAAACCAGCAAGAATAGACCGTTACAAACAAGCCTATCATAATAACGTGATTAAAAAACCTGTAACATGATTTTCCAAGCTTTTTTTGAATGCAGAGGGGGATAGTGATGATACTCAAATTACTGATAAAAGCTTCTGCATCAACACATCAATTTCAGAGAATAAAACTATCAAAAGAACTCAAGTGAGCTAAGAATCATCTTGACCATTTTTACAATGTCATCTCAGAAGACAGTTGCTCACTTGTAAGATTTCTACCTGTTTTATACGTCAGACTCACTCCTAGAAGTATAATCAATTTTAAGGTTGTTTTATTATAAACTATCATTGAGGAAAGAAAAATCTTCAAGTATATTAATAGTGTAGGGATCAGCAGACAGAATGAGTTCAAATTAAATATTTATTTATTTTTATTGAAACCAAATTTATTTGTGTTAAGAAAGCTATAATGTTTAGTATACAAGAAAATCAATTCATTTCTCCACAAGAACTGACAACATAATCAAAAGAAGAATCGATCAGAATAACTGATCTAAGTTTAAATCTTAAAAAAACTACTGATGAATGTATTTAGTTCATGTCCAAACAAACTATCCTAATAGATTTTTAATTTAAATAAAAATATCCATTCAGAAATTCATATCAATAGTTTGGTAGAACATTTAAGTAAGAATTAATAAAATCGAATAAACGATTAACTCAATTTCCCATAGTAACACAAACAATTGATTCTTGTTTGTTTTTTAATGTTTGTTCTATTATCAGAAGGGGTTTTGTGGAGATTTTAGTATTTTTCATAGTTGAAATCATGAGTCAATTGAAGCTAGATCACCATGGAAAACATGGAAGCACTGGACGGCCGTTACGTTCTATTATGGGACTGTTCAGCATTGCGCATCCACGACCCCTCACTCACGAGATTCGAACGTAGGACCTACTATTCTCGCGCCAGAGCACTTAACCGATAGACCACTGAGATGGCCGGCATCTAACGGTGTTCATGTCTAACTTCAACCAATGCACGAAGTTTGAGCAAACAACCAGTGCTTCCAGGTTTTCCATGGTGGTCTAACTTTAATTGACTCATGATTTCAACTGTGAAAAATAAATAAATGTCAGTATATTTATAAATTTACATGTAGATTTAGTTGATTGTAAATAAGTGTTTAGTTTATGTAATAATGAGTTGTTTTAATTTGACTTTTTCATAGAGGCTCTTCTATTTATTCACTTGGTATTGTTTGTTTGGATCTTCCCATCGATGTGTTTCGGACTGCAACTGGTCAGTCTCTAATTGGCATATGTGCATACTGTGCGTATTGCCTCGATATACCTTAATTCACAAGCATGGTAAGCAGAGATGGAGACTGACCAGTTGCAGTCCGAAACACATCGATGGGAAGATCCAAACAAACAATACCAAGTGAATTCAAACTTCACCCCATCGCACAAGCAAGTGGCTATCAGGACTCAGTGCCGAGTGGATAACGCGATGGCGTTTGAAGCGAAGGTACTGGGTTCGAGTCCCAGAGTGAACATCAACTCTGAGATGCAGGTACATCCAGCTGACGAGTCCCAAATAGGACGAAACGCGCGTCCTGGATTCCACTGCTAGCCACTATCCATCTCTGCTTACCATCTTCTATTTATTGTCTTTAGGAAATACTAATCATCTCATATATCTGAATGAAGATGTTAAAATGTTCAACATTGATAACTGACTAATTTACTAAGGATCATGTTCATTATTTTAGTTTTTCTCAATCATCTTTATGTGTAGAGATTCATTTTATCGATTTCTCACAGTTCATTGTTTTAAGAATTTAGGATAACTGTATTCTATTTTGAATATAATCATATTAGTATTTATTCAGGTGAATAGAGATTATTAACGCTGTTTCACTATATGATGAAAGTTGGTCGGTCAACCATACGCTGGGATATTTGTACATTGATTTAAGTTACCGTGCTCTGTCAGTATAAAGAAATCCCAGCGTAGTCAAAGTAGAAACAGCATCAATGGTGATAGGGATGTTTAAATGCAGACATTTTGATTAAGGAAGAAAATACGAATTCATGGAATAAAATGAATGAAATGATTTTGGAATTTTGAATATAAGAGGAAACAAAGAGTGAATGATCTAAACCTGTTAGATTGATTCTGAGCCATGCCAACTAATATCTTCAGCCCATAGTTGTGGTAATTACTCAGACCACAACAAAATAGTCTGTACCTATTAAACAATATACTTCATCAGACAATGACTTCATGAACTAATTCCTAGTCTTGACATGAATGATCTACATGGAACTGATCATTTTAGATTAAAAAAAGGGCCGGTCACTATTACAAAGCAATTTATGTTTTTACTTCACTATCCCCTTTATAATTGAATATGATACATAAACTATCCAACTTATCATGTGTTGAATAAACTTTTCATTTACAGAATATTCAATAGGTTTGTTTTACTCAGATCCATAAAAAGGAATCACGTTATTCTCATTAAGAAAAGTTCATTATATAAAAATAATCTTAGAATAACATCCTGTTAACATTTAGATAAATGGAAAATGTTTTCTACTTAGATGAATACAATGCAATAACACATGAGTAAATAATATTTCTAGTATAAGGTCATGGACATTAAATATCATTTATATCTATCTATCTATCTATCTATCTATCTATATATCTATCTATCTATATCTATCTATCTATCTATCTATCTATCTATCTATCTATCTATCTATCTATCTACCTATATCTATCTATCTATCTATCTATCTATCTATCTATCTATCTATCTATCTATCTATCTATCTATCTATCTATCTATCTATCTATCTATCTATCTATCTATCTATCTATCTACCTATATCTATCTATCTATCTATCTATCTATCTATCTATCTATCTATCTATCTATCTATCTATCTATCTATCTATCTATCTATCTATCTATCTATCTATCCATCTATCTATCTATCTATCTATCTATCTATCTATCTATCTATCTATCTACCTACCTACCTATCTATCTATCTATCTATATCTATCTATCTATATGCACTTTCTTAAGTGAATCCTTGTTTAAAACCATATCATAGTTATAATTAATGTTTATCTTTCTTTGTTATAATTAATTAAAACTTTAATATTTTTTTAAAAAATGCGAAATATTTAAATGAAGCTTTAATTCCTACTTACTTTGAATCATATTGAATTTTCTATAAAAAGAAAAACGTTTCTAGACAAAATGAATATGGATAACAACCAAAATTTTTTGAATAAATTATGTTCGTTTTTTTTCGGTTTGATTTATTTATCAGTTAACACCTAAATTGATTTTTATTCACTTATTGATTTTAGAAACCATAGTAATTTTACATTGTGCTCAGCTATTAACAATATGTATTGAATTTAAATTATAAATAAACATTAACACCGTTGGGTGCCGGCTAACTCGTCTAGCGGTTCAGCACTCGTGCGCGAAACTGATAGGTTCTGAGTTCGTGGATTCGTTGAAGTTAGACATTAACAAAGTTGGATGCTGGCTAAACGGTCTAGTGGTTCAGCCCTCGCTTGAGAAACTGATAGGTTCTGGGTTCGAATCTTGAGAGGCGGGATTGTGGATGCGCACTGCTACTGAGGAGTCCCACAATAGGACGAAACGGCCGTCCATTGATTCCAGGTTTTTCATGGTGGTCTAGCTTCAATTGACTCATAATTTTAGCTATATAAAACAGAATAATTGATTGTTTTAAGTTTATAGTTCTTAATCAATTTGTGAATATTATTATTATTTAATACTATGGTTATTAATGTACACAACTGTAGTACTAACATGTAATTGTAATGTATAAAGATAATTGTAAATTTTGTTAAATAATGATAAAAATTAACTTCTTTAAACTGTATTTTTCAAATTGTAGATACTTTGAATTGGGAATTAACTAAACTATGCAATCAGAATACTTAACCCCACTTCAAAATGACCCAAAAGACAAGTTTGTAAATAATAATAATAACAATAATAATAATAATAATAAATATGTGACCGCACTACCCACAAACAAACGATCTTCGTGTAAAATGAATTCTGACTCTCATAAACCGGTCATTTTGAATAATAAACCTGATCACATAAATCACTTAGAACAAAATAATGACAATACAAAAGATTTGTTATCTCCTGGTGATTTGGTTAAAGATAGATGGAGAGTGATATGTAAACTAGGAGGAGGCGGTTTTGGTGAAATCTATGAAGCCGTTGACACAAAACTAAAACGTGTACAACATTCATCATCTACATCATCAACATCATCATATTATAATGAATCACAGTCAAATTTGAAACGTTACCATCCAGAATATTCACTGTGTATAAACTGCGCAACAAACAGCACTCTAAACATAGCGGTTACTTCACCATCCAGTGGTCAAAATGATTCTACGGTTATAAAATTAAAACACGATATTGGCTCAGATAGTGGTATTGGTGGTGTACAAGCTTTTTCATCAGATACACAAATTCAGCATGGTACTAGAATCAATTCAGCTGGTACAACTACATCAGCTTCGTTATCTTCACGTCGCTTAATACTTACATGCAACGAAAATAATCCTAATAAAAATAACCAAGAAGATGGTTTCATCCATTTAAAATCATCAGCAACTAATAACTATCCTTATTTACACAATATAAACCCACAGGATTTCAGTGCGAGTAATGTATCAACTCCAAGGGATTCAAGTCAAACTGGTAATCCTGACAAAAGAAGTATGTGTATCAATTGTAAGTGTGAACTACCGCAGAGATCTATTGGAAAATTTACATTGAACAATAAACATGAATCAAATGGAATATCTACTGACTCCGGAATTTCCAGTGTGAATGAAGCTTACGACTATCGTGTGGCTATTAAAGCTGAATCTAACCGTCAAGCTAAACAAGTACTAAGAATGGAAGTGGCCGTGTTACGCCGTCTTCAAGGAAAACCGAATATATGCCGTCTGTTTGGTTGTGGAAAGAACGCAAAATTCAATTACATGGTCATGACTTTACAGGTAAGTTAATCAAAAATTAAACAATAACGTATTTATATATCTCTTCTATTGAAAATATAAAAGGGCTCGAAAAGTTATTTACCGAGGACGAATTTATTCATTGATTTTTAGTAGCGAAAGATCTTAACTACACTACCATTGAAAACTTGACAGCATCAGATGTCCTTTTAGTCTCAGTAAGAGATTGCCCAGCAGTGCGCATTCACGATACTGCACACGGTAATTGAACGTATAACCTTCATTCTCGCACACCAACGCTTAGACATTAGACCACTTAACGGGGATTCATTGGTATTAATGTCTAACTCCAGTAAGTCGATGATCTTGTGCAACCCTTGATCCATTACCTACGGTGGATAACTGTCCCACACCCAACACAGATCGGACTGCCTTCTCAGCAGAATGCCTGTAGTTACTTCTTGAAGCTAGTGACTATTAAGCACATGGTTTTTATTGGTATGGGGATTTGCGGAGATCAAAGTATTTCTACAGTTGAAATCACGAGTCGATCTGAGCCAGAGCACCATATTGCAGGATGATCAATCGTTAAAAATAATCAATGTAGTTATTCATAGCTTCAAGTTTGTTTTAATCCAAATGACCAATAAAATCGAATGAAGAAATGAATTAGTTTTATGTAATCGTTACGATTCGGAGCGTCAACCCGACGAGTTTTGAGTTCATGGTAATTTTATAAGTGTTTCAACAAAGCGTTAATAAAATAAGTAATTATTGCACAATCAGTACAGACATAACAATTCAGACCAAAATTACACTACATTATTCACTGTTCGGTAGTTAACTGGTGTCACTTCTCAGATCCTCCATGAAGTCTTAATATCTCAGAAGTGGAATTTCCGACTGTTAAAATGCTTAACACAGATTTAGATCCCACGAGCAATTTCATTTCCGTAAGATCAAAGATATGCCTCGCTAAACATTGCCAACTTGTGCAAATTTGGGTCAGTGTAGTTTGGGAAATCTCCTTCCTTCTCTGAGCTCAGAGAACAAACTTACATCAAAAAGATGCATGATACACTTATCTACTTACTTACCCCTGTTCCTCTTCATAGAGAAGCGTAGGCTAATCATCAGAATTCTCGATCTAACTCTGTCCTGGGCAATCCTTTCCAGTTGTTCCCAGTTGCTATTGATCCTGAATAATATAACCTTAGCAAACTGATGTAACATTCTGTACGGAAGTAATTTTATAGTAGTTAACTTCGACTCAGTCACTCACTGCACTTCAAGGTTTGTTTATATATATATATATATTGTTTAGATGAAATACCTAGTAAAAGCTGAAAGGGACTACAGATACATGAGGATGTGAATGTGAAGCAAGGTTCCAAATTTTCACAAATATCTTCTAATTATTAAAATAGCTAGTCAAATACTGGTCATCAGACAACAAAGAGTTCTTGAGTTGTTATCTATTATTTTTAAGAACTATGCATCAGTTCTAACCCTGATTCTTATGTACATGTATATCTTAGTAGTTATGGAATTGAAACTTTCAGTAAATGAGGTTTACAACGACTAATCATTAAAATGATCACAAATAAAGTTGATTTCTGTTTTTAAATTTGTCTAGAGCCTCTTCAAATAAACTAAACTATTAAATTCTTTCAAGATATTCTTTATTTTCTTACAATTCAGATAAAATTACTTTGAAGCGTATACAATACTCATTACATTTTGCAATTAATTTCAGGGTAAAAATCTTTCTGAGATACGCCGAACTCTACCCGGAGCGGTATTTACACTTGGTACAGCCTTCCGCTTGATTAAACAGTGTATAACTGCTTTAAAATCTTTACATGATGCTGGTTTTCTTCATCGTGATGTTAAACCATCGAATTTTGCTATTCAACGTGATGAAACAAGAGACAGTTCACTTCGGGTAGAAGTCACTTTACTGGATTTTGGTCTTGCTAGACCGTATACAGTTAATGGTCCAGGTACTGAAGTACGTAATGCACGACAAGTTGCAGGATTTCGAGGTACAGTTCGTTATGCATCTATTAATGCTCATGCACATCAAGATTTAGCTAGAAGAGATGATTTATGGTCACTTGTTTATATGTTCATTGAATTTGTTTCCGGTCAACTACCTTGGAGACGAATACGAGATAAAGAATTAGTTGGACAAATGAAAATGGCTTTAAATCATAGAGAATTGGCAATCAAATCTGGTTTACCAGTGGATATTGTTACTGCATGGATAACACATTTAGAACAGTTAGAGTATAAAAGTGTACCAAATTATAATATGCTTATCACTTGCCTAGATGAATGGTTAATACAACATAAAATACAGGAATCAGATTTTTATGACTGGGAAATTCCAAAGGTTAGTTCACTTGCGGATGATACGAAAAATCAACAACCTGGTACGATTACACTTCATAAAGCTGATCACAAAGCAATCTTCTCGGAAAAACTTAGCCATAAAGAAGTTAGATTACAACAATTAAATAATCAAGTAAATGTAGAGGATATTGTTGAAAAAAAGCACAATGGGAGAGAAGAGAACAAAGTGAAAGAAGATGAAGATGATGAAGAAGAACAACTTAATAAAATGAATGAAACATTAAAACCAAACACACTCTTACAATTAGTACGTGATAACCAAATGCTGAAAATGAAGTCTTCAATGAATTTAAACAATAGACATTCAACTAGCCATTGTAATTTAATGGCAAATAGTCGTTCAACCATTGCAGAAATAAGTAAAAAGATTTGCGATGGTAAATTACTGAAACGAAAGAATATATTAAAAAACCACGGTAGTCTAGGTGCTGACTTATCAAGTCATGATGGAGAAATGGAGAATGCTATGATTATTGAAGGTGAATACTCACAAACTAGGCATAATAAATTATCAACAGTTCATAATAGTGCAGACTGTATTCTAATCGACGATGAACATGAAGATGATGTGAAAGGATTAGCAGAGACGGATCTAGGTGTTGACACAAACGATAAACACTCACTAAGAATATATGAAAATGAAAGAAATAACTTGAATACTATTAAGAATTCATTTGATAATTCTCCAAGGAATGTGACTACAACTGAAGAGAAAAAAGCAGAAATTTCACTAACTAAATCTCAATTACCCATCACATCTAATTCATCATTAGTAAACGTAACCAATAATATTGATAGTTGTAGAAATATCGTGGATCATAAAGTGGAAGAACCGGTGAAAGAATATTCAAAATTAATTTGTAAGTTTTGTTTATTTATTCATTGATAAAGGTGAATGACACAAATCACCTTAGTAACTTTATTCCATAAAGAATCTATAATATTACAAACCAGTTGTTATGTATAATAATACAGATGGTATTTTATTCCTCGTCGAGACTATAATTTATGGACGAATCAATCACGTATAAGAAAACAGTTTTGAGATTTTGGATCAAAACTTGCTCATCCATTTGGATATACAGGGTTTTGACAATATTGTTAATGTCAGTTCGTAAAGAAAACCCTAAATCTAGTTTCTAACCTTAATCATCAACTGTAAATCATAATTCTAATCCCTCACACAGGTTTAGAACTTTCATTTAATCCTCGTTATTAGGTGGATACTCTCAAGATCAATCTAGCGTCCATAAACTATTACTTACTTACTGTTATATCTGAAGTATCTGAAGCGTTTCGAATTCACTAGTTAGAGAACGGAACAAAGAATTGTGACCAGAGACCGATAAGCTAGCTATTCTGACGCGACCCAGACCCAGCTAACTAGAGTAAGACGTCCAAGTTGGAAGCGGGGAAAATGTATCCCGTAGCAGCCAGAAGCACAGCAATCATAAGGGGAAAAATCAAATGTATATATACAGCAATCAATTGTCCTTGGGTAGTATTACAAAATAACACACTTAAAGAAACAATGGACCAATTGAGTTTAAGATATTTTACAAGAGAGAAGTTCGACCCGAAGGTGAAAAAAGAGCGTTTTTGGCGCAAAAACAAAGAAATTCAAATGTTCAAAATAAGATTACAAAATTAAGTCATTTACCGAGTAAGTTCTGGGGATTTGACATCCCCAACACTTACTTACGCCTGTTACTCCCAATGGAGCATAGGCCGCCAATCAGAATTCTCCAACTCACTCTGTCTTGGGCCTTCCTTTCTAGTTCTATCCAGTTTTTGTTCATTCTTCTCATATCTGTCTCTATTTCTCGTCGTAATATGTTCATTGGTTTTCCTTTTCTCTTTTAGCTTTCAGGATTCCATATATTCCATAAATTATAGTCTCACCTATTCTTCTAATCAGTAATAGTTGTATTATATAGGAGTCATAAGTATGTTACCTTTCTATTCAATTATTCATTAAACATTATGTAAGTCAAATTATAGTAAGTTGTCAAAAGACATTAGGGGCTTAATTCTACTAAATTGTTCAAAACGATAATATCAACCCGCAGATTTATTATTCAGATTTTTATTCTTTCATTACATTGTAAATCATTGTACACATTTTTTGTTGTTGACAAAAAAAAAAGTATTCAGATCCAACTGTGTTCAGGCAGTTCATTGAGACTGGATCAAACTTACTGACCCCTTAGTTTGTTGTTTTTGTTGTTGTTGTTGTTGTTGTTGTCTATAACTGTTTATCATAGATTTTACTAGCAAGTATACAAAGTTATCATTAAATTCACCATTTCTAAGCTAATACTAATAATTAATATCTCTTCTAATAATTAAGGTCAAATAGGTCAGTTAAAAAAGTTATGTTGGTTTAAAACAAAGTTGGCACCAGCATGGACATATATATATATATATATGACTACAAAAGAAAACGGTTCAAGTGTAATTCAGTTATTATTCGATCAGATACTTGCCGTAGGTAGATGAATTAAGTTTTGTAGGAATTCTTATTAAATTCACTTAGTATTGTTTGTTTAAATCTTCCCATTGATGTTTTAAGACTGCAGTTGGTCAGTTTCTTATTGACATATGTTCAAACTGTGCGTATTGCCTCGATATAGCCTAAATTCACAATCATAGTAAGTAAAAATGGATAGTGGCTAGCAGTGGCAATACGCACAGTATTCACATATACCAATTAGAGACTGACCAGTTGCAGTCCTAACACATCGATCAGAAGATTCAAACAAACAATACTAAGTGAATTTCAATTTCATCGCATTACACAAGCAAGTGGCTATCAGGATACAGTGGCCGAGTGGATGACGGGATGGCATTTGAAGCAAAAGGTACTGGGTTCGAGTCACAGAGTAAACATCAACTCTGAGATGCAGGTACATCCAGCTGAGGAGTCACAAACAGGACGAAACGCATATTTTTGATTCCACTGCTAACCACCATCCATCTTTGCTTACCAATTTCTATAAAGTTCAGACAGTTGGTTATTTTTTATTGATATAACGATTAGACTCAGAAGTCGATTTTTAAAGAGTAGCTGAGTGTTTTTTTTAAAAAAAATATTAGCAGTTAGTCTCACAGATTATCTTACTACTCATTAAATGTATGAACAGAATTGATAATTAACTGTTTCTCAATAACTTTCATCATTCTTGAAATATACGTTGAAAAAATATAAAAAAAATATTTTCATAGAATATGAATTCTGGCAGATTTCAGAACAACAGAATTTATAATCAGACAATTTTAACTCATTAATCTAAAGATAACTATGCTCCTACGAGATCCAATAGTCTCAAGTGTTTTTTTTTTAATAGGATCATGATTAGGGAAGTCTTAGGAACCTCATGCTAAGACCAAATAGGTTTGTAGTGCCCATAGTTTTAATGGCATCTTAAATGATGTTACTTCTTGTCAGGAATCAAATACAAGTCTTTGGAACACTTAAGGCATAGGGTGTCGTATTGTTCTGTTGTAGAAAGACTATTCAAAGCATAGTGTGAAAACTAAATAAATGTTCTATATTCTGTAAGATTTAAAAATCTAACCACTTGAATGCCTGTGACGGTTTACGTATTAAACAAACAGTTTTTAATTTTAAGTAGATAATGGTAATTACTATTCTTTTTAAATGTGAAACAAATTATGAAATATACCTGTTCTATTCATTTTGATATAGATACAAAACCAATACAAAACAATTCCACTGGACAGGATCTTGTATCAGACAAAGAAACTAGTCAATTTATCAAAGACTCATGCATTTCAAGAACAAATCTTAGTACTAAAGAAATAAATCAAAATATTCAAGACGATAAGTTGGATGTAGCTGGACAAAGTCTGTTTGTTCCGACCTTCAGAAGAATGAGTTCATCTTCTATACCACAAACGAGTGATTGTACAACAAATCCTAGAGCAAAAATACATGCTATAATCAAGAATTTACTTGCTTGTCGTCAAAACAAAGGCAATGATCCACCTAAATTAAGTGAATCAACTTCTCAAAGATTACCTAATTGGTCCGGACTTGTAAAAACACCAAAAGAATTTAACAAATTTAGTGACACAAATTCCTCAAATTTAGATTTGAGATTTGGAAGTGATGTTGATAAATCTACTTGTCGATCTAACAACACTTCAGTATTTGATCAGACTTCACCATATTATATTCATTTTTCATTGGGTCATATCAATGCACATGACAATGAACAATATCATAGATTTCTGACCGTACCGCGTAAGGATCACATCAGTTTGAGCACATTACGTCTTAATCGTACTGGAGACTCACTTAAATTCGATAGGTCAAATCCAAATTTCGAAGCTAAGTTCATACATGAAAGCAAACACAGTACGGCAACTAGTTCAGATCAAATTTTAATTGATAATGTGGAGAATACCTGCATAACACATAATTTAAATTCTCAGTCGGAGAACCATCATCCAGTTCCACGAAGAAAACGAACACTTTATCTAAATAGGTATCATTCAGAACAATTAATTCAACCATCGCAAAATATCACCATAAAGTCATTAAATATTCCACAGAATAACCATGAAAATTTGATGAATTTAACGAAATCATCATATCAAAACAACCTTCCTTTTGAATTAACCGCCGAAAACTATCGACAAAAGCTGATTGATAACAAACAAAAACATTCACAGCAAAAAAGTATGAATTCAACAAAACTAGTTGGACAAAGCATACATCCTACTTTAGAAACAAGTAAAAATATACACCAAAACCGTAGGAGTATTACTAATATTAATAATAACGGTGGTACTGATAATCTTAGGGAAAGTGAAAACTTAGAAAAAATCAAACAGCTTGGTTTATTAGCTAAGACGTTGGATGCAAAACTGAAAGGTAGTAATGCTAACACTGCTTCAGCTAATGAAAACTACGAAAAGTCCATTAATCAACAGGCAGTATTGAGATCAACTATCAGTGGCTCGAAAATAAATCAGCCTTCAAAAAGTCAGGTATGTCCATTACACTATCAGTTGTTATTGTACTCTCATAACATTATTGAAATGTATTTTAGTAGTTATACTTTGTAACAATCAGTGGTTGACCTGATCAAACACTCGTCATTGAATTTTCCTGACCGAATGATGAATCAGATAGACACTGAACTGAGAACGTCTTCACGTTTAGCGGCAGTATTACTCCTCTGATTGCATTCGTGGGATGAGAAAAGGTTTTTCACATATTCCAATAAGGATTTCAATTACTGATCAAGTATTCAAGAAAACTATTTGAACGACATGCTATCTTATGTTGACTAGCATATGTTCAAAAATAAAAGTTGTTCCATTTCATTGTGCTTATTCATAACCTTACAAAAAACGATCGGCAGACAGAAATTTTCTAAGACCGATAGTTAAAACATCTGATTGATTGTTATCACGTAAACGGTTCTTGCAACTGATTGTTTTGTACTAAAATCCTTCAACTTCATTTTGGCAGGATAAGAAGTTGATTAATTTTAATAGTTGAAAACGTGAGTCAATTGAAGCTAGATCACCAAGGAAAACCTGGAAGCACTGGACGGCTGTTTCGTCCTATTATGGGACTCCTCAGCGGCAGTGCGCATCCATGATCCGGCCTCGCAAGATTCGAACCCAGGACCTACTAGTCTAGCTCCAGAGCACTTAACCGATAGACCGCTGAGTTGGCATCCAATGGTGTTCATGTCTAACTTCAATCGACTCACGCTTTCAACTATGAAAATACTAAATCTCCACAAAAACCATCTTCTGATATAATTTTAACTATATATGATAATAATCAACTCACCATAACAGTGAAAATTATTTAAACTTAGTTTTTCTATTCACACATTTGGTGGTTTATGAATGAAGCTTATAACGAAGTAGCTAAATAATATATGTAGGAATTTGAAATGGAAGTAGCATCTACTCATAGCTAAAGATTCACCTGACGTATAAAATGACTGAAAGCCATTCATTATTTTCTGTCAGTATGGAAACTTTAAAAAGGATTAGAATATTCAGGAAAAATATTTATTCATCACAATGTCTAATTAGTCTTCAAACAACTAAGTGATCTTTTATTTTGTTTTAGTCAAAGTGCTTGGCTAAAACATGTCCAGAAATTTCATATGATCCAGAAATTAGCAAATCTTCGGTACAGTACGATAATAGATCTAAAAGGCTTATCAATAGAGATTCAACGATGAATACAAATAGATCAATTTCAAAAATGGTTCAACAAAATTGTCAACAAGCAAGTTTAAAATCTTCAAATTTTCATTCTGCAGAAAAATTGATTATTCGAAGAAATGATGACAAACAAAATATTGAATCAGTTAATTACAGTTATTCACCATTAAAATTAACAAATAGCTTATTAACATCAATGTCATCAAATAATGTTTGTTGTAAATCAATTTATTGTCAACAATCAATGGATAAATCACGACGTCGTCGGTTGAATTCCATTCATATCATACCTTCAGAATTATATCATAGTCAACAAAAAAATGAACAATTTACTATTTCTACCATTGATAATAATAATAATAGTGGTAGTGGTAGTGGTTCATCATGCGTTTCTAAAATTAATTTAAGAACATTAAGATCTCAATCAGCAGATAGAGTAATGAAACCACGAACAAGTTGTAAAACTACTATACTACAACCATGTCATCTAATTCAACCAACTTTACCTAATACTTTAATAATTCGTTCAAAACCAAAACGAACTTTGGATATCACAGTAAATGATTCTCAGAAAATATCCAAAATTAATTCATTTACATCAACAAAAAGGTTTTAAATGAGTTTATGAAGTTTTCCTCTTTTCTTTTCCTATACATTTACATATCAATTAGTGTATAACAAGTCTTCCATCCATTAATGATGTCTCAATTCATCTAAGTTATATATATCACTATGATTATTGAATTAAAATTTTTTTAAAAATTTTTATTCACAGAATTAATCAAAGAAAAACATTTCAAGTTTATATGAACTGATCTCTTGATGTTTTTCGTTTTTACAAGAATAAAGAGATTTATTCAGTATTTATTTTACTTATTATTCATACCTGTTTATTGATTTTCATTTGAAAATTACTCATGTTTATTTATTTCTATTTTTTTTTTTTTGGGGGGGGGGGGGGGGGGTACATATCATTCATGTTTATGAAACGAAGAGAGGCTAAGATTGTGAATAATATTTTGATGGTGTATATTAGTTTTATTTGTTGTTTTCTTTAAACCTTTCTAATATATTTCATGCTTCGTATCAATTTTATACAATTACTTACTTACTTACTTACTTTCACCTATTACTCCCAATGGAGCATAGGCCGTCGACCAGCATTCTCCAACCCAATTTGTCCTAAGCTTTCTTTTCTAGTTCTATCCAGTTTTTGTTCATTCTTTTCATGTTTGTCTCTATTTCTTAGCGTAATGTGTTTTTGTTTGATCTTTCACTTTTTCTTTGGCCTTCAGAATTCCATGTGAGGACTTGTCTTATGACGCAATTGGGTAATTTCCTCAAAATGTGCCCATTTAGATAATCTCATTTTTCTTTGCTTATTCTAAGCATATATAAACATTTACTTTCACTGTAAATCATTCCAGAAAACTAAATAGCACAATTGTAAGAATGCATCTTTTTTTTTTTTCTAAAAATGTTTTACCACAGACATATCATTATAGGTTACTATGGCAACCGTATCTCTATGTGCACGTTGGAGGTAAATAATGATACTTTGAGTAGAAAAAAAAATGTCAACAAATAAGAAACTTTTGATAAATGAAAACAAATTTTTTTTCTAAATGTATGTTTAGATTTTTCTCTCTTTATCAACTTGAAGATTTCTTTTCATAGAACTCAATTCAATAGTTTCAATCATTCATCTATAAGATCATTTGTGTTTATTAGATTTATCTACATCAACATCATCATCATCATCATCATCAACATCATCATCATCATCATCATCATCATCATCATCATCATCATCATCATCATCATCATCATCATCATCATCATCATCATCATCATCATCATCATCATCATCATCATCATCATCATCATCATCATCATCATCATCATCATCATCATCATCATCATCATCATCATCATCATCATCATCATCATCATCATCATCGTTATTCTTGCTGTTCCTTTGATTAATTAAAACGAAATGGTTTTGTTTAATTATAAACAATCAGTGAATTATTCATTTATTTATTTCAGACTAAGATATAATACTGTTGTTGTCATGGTAACGTATAGTATATTGGTTGATTTGTTTGTTTTTTCGCCTTTTTTTCTCTCACATGTTTTATTTCATATTCTACATACTTATTACTTGATATTCATTTGTTTCTTGGTCTTAATAATGAATGATCTTCAAAGCTTATAGCTTGATATCTCATTTCAACGTCTTGTTTATCTACATATAAAGTATTTTGATTTAAAGTTGAACAGACAAGATCTTTGATGTGGAGTTCATTGATTTCCTTTTTAACTTTTTCTCTTTGATTCCTATTGTATTATATAACCTTTAAATATGAACAACCCTGTGATTATTAATTCATTAAACCATTTTCACATGAATATTCTTTATTGAATTTTCTTTCTGTTTATATTCATTTATTTAAATATTATTTAATTAAAACAAAATGTTTGATCTAAAGACTGTTGATTCTTGTCAATCAGTCGGTCCAAATTATAAATTTATTGTACATATAAATTACTATTGTAATAAGAGTACTTCATGGTAGTACATTATTTCTTTAAAGAGAAATGATATAGTGGAGCTTTTTCTTTCTTATGCCTCCTATCAACTAATTTTATATTGAATATCCTACAATTTGATTTATAAAATTCTTAGAATTAACAGAGTATGAATAAGTAATTGTTAATCTTGTGTTCTTCTCTATTGTGATTCTTTTTTCTTTTTATACCAAATTATATTTAACCTTTACATCTTTTCTTTTTTTTTTCTTCTTCTTCTTTTTTTTTTTTAAACGATTTTATCAATACTACTCACAAATCAAAATCAGTATTTTATTGTTTTATATCATAATGTTATATAAATACAAAAAAAAAAAAACTGATGTAAGATCGTCTACGTTGATGATCTATGTCGAAATGATTGGGGGCCCACTATAGTTAGACGAGAATGGGGACGAACCAACTAACACTGAAGTCACACCTCGCGACCAGCCCTTACGTGGATTGAACCATCGACGCATCAAAGGATAATAGATGTTATGGAGACTGTACAACACAAAGGACGTTATGACAAGAATATATTAGTTAAGGTACAACTACGGAAGTACAGAAGTGAAAGAATAACCACTGCCGCGTGGGCCAGTCCATGGCGTACGATTGGTTTGCGCGCGTTGACTATCCTCGACCTTGACAGGGATCAGTGATCTGTTCGATATTCAGTGACCCTACACTGAATTAAATCAAATTTATTCTTATTCTCATTAATCGGTTCGAAGAATAAACACCATTTCACATTTAAAAATATGAGATTTCCTATATATGAGATTTGTATAAAAAGTATTATAATGTACTTCTAAAGCATCGTTAGATATATATAAGCTATTACAGTTTGATTGACTAATTGTGAATAGAAACTTGAAAATAGTTGGATAAAAAAAAGAATTTCCAGTTTTTTTTTTAATTCGAATGAGCAAGAAATTAGTTTATAGGTTATAGAGTCGATTGTATTAATTTTCAACTATTGTGGTGTGGTCTACTTATATCCATATAAGTAGTATATGGTGTGGGTCAGACATAGAATGTATTTTGGCAGAAGACCGATGAAGAAAGAACTGGAATGAAGCGCAATCGTCTGGAAAATGCATGAGCAATGGAATTATAGAAGAAACAGTGAAGATTGAAATAATTGGTTGTTAATTTGCAAATTGACTGTTCATTGTTTGGTAATCAGAATTTATTGAGATAGTCTGTAATCTTTGCTTAAATACATTCGATTGTCCCCAACTAGTGTTCTGTTCACTACATTTGGTGTCGCTGCCAACCGGGAGGAGGAAGGGTGCTGTTCTGCGGACGCCGCTGCGGGTCTGGAGTTGAAGTGTTAGTTGGGGCAGTCCGGTGCGGAGAGTTGGCGTCGAGTGGAGTGTTCTGGCGGGGCGGCGTTGGCTGTAGCGGGTGCTGTCGACGGAGAGGAGCAGTGGGACGTGCGGCTGCTGGGCGGACATCGGATGTAGATGGCTCAGCAGGCCGGTGGAGTACGGGTGTTGAACGTCCCAGGTGCCGGGTGGATGCGGATGTTGGTGCCCCGGTAGGTCGACGGAGCTATGGAGGTCAGCGCGCCGCAGACTCGACATTCTGACGGAGAGTTTGGCACAGACTGCAGTGAAAGAAGATAGTGGCGTGGCGAGCAGAACCACCGCATGAACGAATGCTTTAAAGGGTGGACGAGTGTGATGTGGTCTACTTATATCCATATAAGTAGTATATGGTGTGGGTCAGACATAGAATGTATTTTGGCAGAAGACCGATGAGGAAAGAACTGGAATGAAGCGCAATCGTCTGGAAAATGCATGAGCAATGGAATTATAGAAGAAACAGTGAAGATTGAAATAATTGGTTGTTAATTTGCAAATTGACTGTTCATTGTTTGGTAATCAGAATTTATTGAGATAGTCTGTAATCTTTGCTTAAATACATTCGATTGTCCCCAACTAGTGTTCTGTTCACAACACTATAAGCAGTATAAGCAAAGAATGATAGTGACTAACAGTGGAATTCAGAACGCGTGTTTCATCCTATTTGATGTTGATGTTCACTCTGGGACTTGAACACAGTAGCTCTCTCTTCAAATGCCATAACGTTATTCACTCAGCTAGGATGAAACGCACGTTCTGGATTCCACTGCTAGCCACTATCCATTTTCGCCTATAATACTTATGATCAAAGGCTATATCGAGGCAATACGCACAGTATGCACATATGTCAATAAGAAACTGATCAATTGCAGTCTTAAAACATTAATGGGAAGATTCAAACAAACAATACTAAGTGAATTTAAACTTCACTCCATTGCACAAGCAGGTGGCTATCAGGAATCAGTAGCTTAGTGGATAACGCGGTGTTTGAAGCGGAATGTAATGGGTTGGAGTCCCAGAGTGAACATCAACTCAGATGCAGACATATCCAGAAAAGGACGAAACGCGCTTTGTTCTGGATTCCATCTTTGCTTATCATACAGACGATAGTTTATTGCAATATTTCTTGTTAGAAAGAAAATATGTAGCCTGAAGCTTTCAACAAACAGACAGTATCGAACTGAAGCATATGAAATTTGTTTGTTTATTCTAAATTTTGTAACACATGTTAAGTTAAAGACACTTCATTAAGTAAACATTCAGAAACTAAGTACTGCATAACGCTTTCCAGTTAAGCAACCGTTTAGCATATATTGTACTGTTCGACCATTTAATATCATAGAAGAACGGCTGAATCGAATCTAGCTTGAGTTTTGTCATAGTAAATAAAATGATAACTTTGAGATAATAGATTTTATATAGATGCAGGATGTTTAACCATCATAATTATTTAAGTCTAGTATAACGAATAAACATTCAAATGCGATAAGATGATAGAAATATACATTGTTTATAATCTCTGATTATTAATTCAAAACTGAGGAACGGACAAAACAACAGATTTCAGTTTAAAATTGACAGTGTATTTGAATGTCAAGTTGTGCTTCATGAATAACAAGTTAAACATCAAGAAGAAGTAAATATACTTACTTACTCTTGCTACCCATAGTGGAGCAGAGGATGCCGACCAGGATTTTGAAACTAACACTGTCCTGGGTACTGTGTCCAAGCGCTATCCATTCTTTTGTTATTTGCCTCCTATTTCAAACACAATGTGTTATTAGGTCTTCCTCTTTTCCTTTAGCCTTTGGAATTTCAAGTCAGGTCTTGCCTCACGATGCAGTTTGATGATTTCTACAATGTAGGTTCTATTTACCTCCAGCGTCTTTTCCTACTTTCAGCTGGAGGCTGGTTTGTTCTCTCACACAGTAGGCTGTCGCTGATGGTGTCTGGTCAACGGACGTTTAGTATCTTGCTTAAATAGCTAGTCATAAATTCCTGTACCTTTATTAATGATCGTTTTATTAGTTCTCCATACAATAGAACTGTCTTGACGTTTGTATTGAAGAACCTGACTTTGGTCTTGTCTGACAGTTGTTTTTTAACTGTAGGAATGCTTCCATTCCTTTACCAATCCGTGCTTTCACATCTGCATCAGATCCACTTTGCTTATCAGTGATGCTGCCCAGGTGCATTAACGTTTCCATCTCTTCCAGTGTTTCTCTATCAAGTGTGATTTGATTGGTGCTTTCTGTATTGTATTTTATAGTCCTGGCTTTTTCTTTGTGTATGCTGAGGCCAACTAATGCAGACTAAAGCTGCTGCTACACCGAATGTCGTTGTTGGTGTGTATAGGATAGAAGAGCTGGGTCATCTGAGAAGTCCAAATAGTCTAATGTATCCAAGCTGTTCATTATATTTCGTGCTTCCCCCTCAGATATGAAAATCTTCATGATTAAATTGACCACCAGAAATAAGAGAAAGAACGAGAGTAATCAGCATTGTCTGACATCGGTCTTCAGTTGGAATTCAACTGTGAGTTTCCCTCCAAGCACAACTTTCCAACATAGTCCGTCGTATGAATTTCGAATGATGTTGACTACTTTTTCAGATACACCATAGCGTCGAAGAAGGTTCTGTAATGCTTTCTTATCCACACTGTCAAATGCCTTCTCACTGTCGAGGAAGTTGATGTATAGTGAAGAGTTCCAGTCAACTAATTGTTAAACGATGATCTGTAGTGTCGCGATTCGGTTCGTACACGACCGATACTTGTGGAATCATGTCTGTTAATCTCGAAGTTGGGCATCTACTGGATCTTTCATTCGGTTCACTAACGCTCAAATGAAAATCTTTCCTGGTGCTGATATCAGTGTGATGTCACTGTGGTTCTTATAATTGCTCAGGAGCTCTTTAAACAGTTCTACTAACCTGCCCCGCTCCTCTTGTCTGTCAATGATTGGTTTGTCTTATTTATTCTTGATTGGCTCTTCTTGGTTTACAGCCTTTTCCTGCCAGTTTTTCTCAGCTGTATCATA